TGTTGTTATGATCGTTGCTCATTTGGATCCTCTACACCGATGCTGTCTGTCAGATGGCTGGCCTGTGCTGGATACCTGTAACCGTGGCTTTGTTAACGTCTNTTAATTATCCAAAGAGTAAATTACTGAGTTCTGATTACAGTTAGAACATCCAGCAGAACAATCATTTTACATGCCTCAAATAAAAAGTTTAGAAACGTTATCTATCTTCACATGTATGAAAATAGCCACAAATATACTAGCGACATAAAAGCATCATAAGAAACACGTGTTCGAGTTGGTTTGACCACTCTGACTAAGCTTCCATGCAGGAACTATTTTAGAATATATCTGAATCCTTTTTTCTTTTGATTTTGCAGCACAGGCCTTAGAAGGATTTTTTAGAAATACAAGGAGGGGGTGATTATTTCAGTAGGTTAGAGATATGGAAAAACAAATCAAATGCACGAGTAAAATGCAAAAAGCTTTACATACTAACAGCAGTTACCAACAAACTGACGTGACTTTGTGAGAGAACGTTTGACTGTAATGTTGGCATGACTCAGAGTTTTCTCATTTTAGTGAAGCAGCAGCATTTTGAACACATTCATGGCTGCTTTCTTCTTTACATTTCGTTGTCCTGCATACATTTTCCTTTGATTTGCAAACTTGGAGAGCAACACTTTGCAGCTAGCAGGAGTCATGACATTATTATATCAGTAACTGATGTCAACAACCTGTTCTTACAGTGAATCCACCGCCTGTGATGGAACTGAAGTCACTGCACACAGACATAAGTCAGCTCAGTGGAGCCTCGCTGTGTGTCGCTAACGTGAAAAACTAGAAAATCCAGCTCATCACTACAAAATATTCATGTAGGGATGGATCCAGAAGTTCTGGTTTATAAGCTCCAGTGTGTAACAGCATCAACCTTGTGAGGACAGCAGCATGAGAGCTTCATGCATACTGTTTTCTTCTTTCATGAACAGATGCAGAGGGAAGATAACAACAGCAGCTCGTCATCTACCAAGCAGAAGTGGTCATATTATCTTCAGCTCTTAGTGACAGCATTGTCAGCAGTGGTCAGCATGTTGTGTAGAGTCTGACAACACCGAATACAAACAGTCAGTTAAAGCATTCACCACTTCATCCCAATAACTCATGACTGTTGTGGAAAATCCCAAACTCTGAACATAGCATATGTGAATAATAATTATAATTTAACAGTCCATCCTTTGATTTAACTTCCTGAATACCATAAAACCACATCTGTTATTGTGGTGTTTGTCTATGTTTGCTCTTGCAGCCTTTCTCATTCAAAAATAAAATTCAGTCATTTATTTTTTTTTTTTAATTTCATGTGTAGGTTTTCCTTCATAGAGGGATTCTGGGAGCCTCCCCAAAGAACTTTTAGTGAACTGAAGGAAAACCACCAAATGATAAAAACTGACAAATTAAAAAACATGTTTTTCTTGGGTTTCACTTACTCAAGAATAATTCACATTTTTGTTTAGAAAACTGTGATGAATAACAGCAAAAAGTTTCTGGTGAATGAGGTAGAAATATTTTACTGAATGTGAACCAGGGCTGCACGGTGGCTCAGTGGTTAGTACCGTCGCCTCACAGCTAGAAGATCCCGTTTCGCATCTCAGCTTGGGCCTGAGGGCTTTCTACGTGGAGTCTCCATGTTCTCCCCGTGCAGCGTGGGTTCTCTCCGGGTTCTCCGGCTTCCTCCCACAGTCCAGAAACATGCTGAGGTTAATTGGTGATTGTAAATTGTCTGTAGGTGTGAATGTGAGTGTACTTGGTTGTCTGTCTCTAAGTGCAGCCCTGTGATAGACTGGTTACCTGTCCAGGTGAACCTGCCTTCACCCTGAGTCAGCTCCAGATTTGAAAGGAGGACCTTCAGACTGTGACTGTGACGTCATTACGTCGCTCCTCAGTCACACTATCCACCAGGAAAACATTTGGTCTATAGTGATATCTATGGAGCCTCTAAAGGGACACGTTGGAGAAAAAAACCCCTTAAGTATCTCGTGCGAACGAGATCCGACTCTCACGGGAACGGGAGTTCAGTCAAGTTGGAAAGATATTCAAAGATTTGAACTTCCAGCATCAATAACTCCAAAGCAAATCATCGTTTTAAATAAAATGGCACCTCTTTCCAAACGTTGTCATACAGACCACAACCTACTACTGGCCAAAATCCTTTTTGATTTTTTTTTTCCCCCCAAAATGAGACGTTTTTATGAATTAACTGATCTTTATGTGCAGCCGGGAGCTCAGGGACCGTTAACAAATCACCACGGTGAAAACTCAATAACGTCACATTTATTGCTTGTAGCGGCACCAAACTCACATCACACATCAACAACCTTCCTCTGGTTGTACTGCAGCACTCAGATTGGAAAAATGCACTATTACGTAATTTTAGGGATTTGTTTTTCTGTAAATACTCAAGTCCTGCCTCCTGCCTCCCACATGAACACTGAAAAATGTTTTTTCTAAATATCTGCAGCTGTATTTGTTTATATATTTGCTGTGTATAGAAAGAAGTAAATGACTTTGATGGGTCTTCTCTTGATGATGAGATAGTACCTCATGCACATGAGATACTTGAGGCTTTGTTTTTCTCCGACATGTCCCTTTAGGGGCTCCGTTAATATCTACCTGGTGAATGATTTTACAAACTTCAAATATAAAGTTTAAAAGCATTTTCCATTTTCACACATCTTCACACGACAAAGAAGACATAAAGCATCAGAAGAGTTGGAGTTTGTTTGACAAGTTTGTCTAAACTTCCATGCAGGAACTATTTTAGAGTACATTTGAACTTTTTAATGTGAACTTTAGTTTATAAGCTCCAGTGTGTAACAGCATCAACCTTGTGAGGACAGCAGCATGAGAGCTTCATGCATACTGTTTTCTTCTTTCATGGACAGATGCAGAGGGAAGATAACAACAGCAGCTCGTCATCCACCAAGCAGAAGTGGTCATATTATCTTCAGCTCTTAGTGACAAAGCATGTTGCAGTTCACACGACTCTGCACACAGCAGAGATGGTCAACATGTTGTGTAGAGTCTGACAACACTGAATACAAACAGGAAGTTAAAGCATTCACCACTTCATCCCAATAACTCGTGACTGTTGTGGAAAATCCCAAACTCTGAACATAGCATATATGAATAATAATTATTAAAATTTGATTTAACTTCCTGAATACCATAAAACCACATTTGATATTAGAGAAGAACGATGGGAGCCAAACATTTGCCATCTCTGTAGGTGGACCTGTTGTGTGTGGTCACCACCAGTCTGACAGAAACGGGCCATTTGTTCCCTTTGAAGAGACACTGTGTTTCTTAATACAGAAACACAGTTTGTGTGGCAAAACTGGAGTTAATAAACATTGTTTTAATAAGTATGTATTCAACAGGGTGCTGCTATGCAACAAACAACATGCAGACAGTCTGACCAATCAGAGCACCACTGCTGAGCTGCTGGCAAAACACAGTTTAAACTAATGCATCTTCTTTGTTCAGCCTAACACTCCTAGAAATGGCTGAGCTCAGTTTAACAGCATTATGAGATTCTAACCATTTTCTCATCATGTGTCTATTTATTGCTCCAAAAGATTGTAAACAAGAAAACACAGATTTATTATTCTTGCTTTGTTAAATGTATTTCTGATGAGACAGCTGTTGTCTGCAGCAAAATGCTCCTCCGGGGCTTCCTGCATCACCCAGGTGCCAAGCTGTCTTTGCATTTTCCTCGTCTAATACGACCAAATTGGGTGGGTGCAGCTGTGTATGATGACGTCACTGATGCTGATTTGATATTGAAAAAAAAAACAAGAACAAAATGATGCATCCAGTAGACTAGATGCCTTTATGTTAATAAATGAATAATACATACAGGAACAGGTAGAGAATGATCCAGGTTGGAGAACAAGACAGGGAACCAGTCTTAGCATGGATCAGAGGTGACGATCTGGCAGAGAGCGAGCTCTGAGCTGGGATTTTATAGAGAGGAGTGTTGATTGGTGGCAGGTGCTCCGGTGCTGCTGCCTGCTGCTGATTCGGCGGCAGCTCACAGAGATCAGCAAATCAGGGGCCGGGGCGGGGATCCTGACAAACGTGGGGTTCAGCCAGCATCATACTGGACCCAGAGCTCATCCGAGGTCTCCACCCTCTCCACCCTGAAGAACGTGGACTGTGTGGAGGGATGCTGTCATGTCTAGATCCTGCTCGTAAGTTATGTTTTCATTTTTTCCTGTTTTGTTTTTGCAACTTCCCGTTTGAGGCACATACTCACCTTCTGTGTTGTGAGATTACCTGCCCCGTCCTAATCTGCTCCACCTGTGTGCCCCAGTGTACACTCACCACCTTCCATGTTCCTCAGCAGCTCATCTTGTGCCCAGCCTGTCTTGTGATCTCTCGTGCTTGCTGTATGTTTTCTGACATCTTGGATACGTCTGCCTGATTGTCGTGCTTCAGTGTACAACACATTGCTTCGACTTTCACTCCGGTGTTGAACTGTACATACTTGAGTCTTGCACCTATTCGCTACCTGTGTGATAAGTGAAGGCAGCAGCATGTCTTCATCATTTCTTTTTCTTTGTAGATAAGTTCACCTTGTTTGCAGATGCAGGAATGAACTGTGGTCACTGAGACCGACTTGCATAAGTGTTCCTGACCTCATGTGATGATGTCCACCACAGAATCACGTCAACGGGTATCATATCACTCTAGGAACCACTTCCCCTGTATATCTTGGTGCCCACCTTGTGTTGTTTGGCTTCTTATCATTGCTGTATTCCTGTGTTCTCTGCACTGTTTGCTGCTGAGAGGAACCTGGCAAACTTCTTCCTCACTCTGTCTTCCCTTGTCTCTGAGTCAAAAAGATGACAAGCAAAGATGATGATGCTTCTTTTCGTCACTTCATACTTTTTTCAAGGCATGTTCAAATAAGGATATGGTCCCACAGTGAGGAGTGTAGTCGTGGTCTTCCTGTTCTCTATAAAAGCACTTCCATCAGACTGACTTCACCAGAGCAGCATCTTCCTTTGAAACACTGAAAACCAACAGGCAGAGTGGACAGCGTCTTACATCCTTCCTCACAGAAGGTACATGCAATGAATTTGTGCATTTTTGTTCCATTCACTGTTTAGCAGGATTTATAAAATATCTCTGTCCTCTTTTAGAATTACAGGCATTAAAGCCTATTTGTGTTCTATCTACAGGGTGCTAGAACCAGCAGATCCAGCTGGAACCAGGCGTGAAGGTGAGCTGTTCAACATTCATCTCTGGTGACTCCAACTATAGAAAATGTCAGATGGGCTGAACACAGTCAGCAGCTCATACATACTCATCAAGCTATTTCTTTTGAGTTTACATTGAAGTTTTTCTTGCTCTTGGTTTGATTAACATTACAATAGTTTATTGTGTGTGTGTTCAAACTGTGGTCTGCGTAGATGGCTGGCCTGGGCTGGATGGCTGTGGTTCTGGCCTTCCTCCTGTCTCCTCCAAACAGTTATGCTGCTGTGGAACAGGCCTGGCTCACAAGTATCGCAGAAGCCATCAAAAATGAGTGAGTCTTTAAAAACTGTCCCATTCCTCTCATGTCTATTGCTCCAGTACCTGTTATCTGTGACTCCAACGCAGACCTGCTTGTGCAATTGTGCAAAATTGTGATTCTAGAAAGAGGCTTTTGATCTCTGAACAAACACAAAATGTATGCTGATTGATATACAAGAATATGTATATGACAGTTCATTTGCTGATTTTCTCTCTGCGAGGCTCTAAACAGTCTGACAGTTTAGATGACTTCTCTCACCATCAAGGATTTCTTTTCTCAAACTGACTTCCATATACAACCTTAGCAATGCCTAGTTTTACCGTGTTATGCCAAGTTCACTATGCAGTTTTTACTCATGTTGTCAGTCTTCTTTTCTGACCATGTAGGCAGCCTCTTCAGCTGCAGTACGACTGGGGCATTAAAATTGTGAAAAGTCACGTTTCCCTTTCCCTTCCCTGACAGGTATGCACTTGGTGACACCTTCAGTCTGGCTGTGAACATCCCACTGAATCAAGACCCAACCGGTCTCAAGCAAGTCCTTCAGGAAGACCCAGCAGACAAAGTGAACGCAGCTGTTTCAAACAGTCAAGTGTACCAAGGCACCAGGGTGGTCGCAGCCACACAGTCCAATGCAGTGTCACGTGTTCTTGAAAACCTCCAGCCGCTCACAAAAAGCAGTCAGGGTAATGTCCTCATAATCTACTCTGAAGGCACCCCAGATGCAACTGGTGTCGCTGACAAGCTTAATGATGTCACTCAGAACTGGGGTAGTTATGCATTTGCATTTTCTAAAGTAGCTGATGTTCCCGGTGCTGACCCATCTCAGCTTGCTCAGTCCTTCAAACAACTTGAGATTTCCAAACTTGGCCTAGACAATGTATTCCGTTGTTATCAACCTGGAGGTGGTGCTTTTGAGTGCACCAGCTGCTCTTCAGGTGGAGATGTTGCACCCTCATGTGTTTCAGATACAGCTCAGCAACAAGATGCAGGTACAGACACGAGCACCCCTGCACCAGGCGCTGGG